GCGTGTTTTTCAGTGAAAAAGAAAACGAAGAAGATATGCCTGACATGAATCGAGCTGATGAAAGCGGGGCAATAATTGGCTAGAACAATAAACGATATCTTTTTATTTGTGAAATGTAAATGATATTTTACATTTACGGGTATATACGAAGACGAAGCAGACATTGAAGGCAAAAGAGACAAAGGGATGGAAAGAGAAGGAAAATGATAGCACGCTGGGCAGAGGCGGCACGAAAAGATGAGAGAGAAGAAAGGAGAGAGAGAGAGAGAGAGAGAGAGAGAGAGAGAGAGAGAGAGAGAGGTAGATAGAAGAGAAGAGAGAGAGAAAGAGAGAACGCGAGGGAGATCGGCAAGGTTCAAAGAGCCGACAGTGGTTAAAGAGCCTTCTTCCTCTCTCCATCTTGACACGCATAAGTACAAGACGCAACGTTTCGAGCTGACCAGAAGGGAGGGAAACCAGTGTTCTCGCTTTTTTCTGTTGCCTCTCTCCTCTCCCTTTCTCTCTCTTTCACCTCTTCCTCCCTCTGCCCTGCCGTCTTCCATCTCACATCGGCGCAGCAAATTTATTTCACGTTGCTGCCTTTTCTGGACCTTTCACAATATTTGGCCACGCTGCGGCATCCAGTACCGTCGGGCACCAGTCACTAGAAGATACGGCTTTGAGCCATCCGTGATGGATGGTTCGCTCTCCAGGCTGCCACGAACTGCTGCCTCTACTCTCTCCCTCATTCCGTTCCTCGGTTTCCTCTTCTATCTAGAGGATGCTAGACGACGGCGAAACTCAGGGCCGCTTACAGCTTTGAGAGACGCTCGCGCATCTGAAATCAAAGTGGCACGCAGTCCTTCTTCCAGGACTGCGAAACATGCGTAAGTCGCGCGGACCAGGACTTTCATCGAAGGTCGTATAATGTTCTTTTCACAAACGATTTCTTTTATTTTCAAAGAGTCATAAATCCTACGACTATCAAAGTTGTAGACACATCGTCCGACGATTTCACGTATAGCCTGTGTGACATTCCAAGTTACCGAATGCCGAGATGAAAACGGACTCGCGAACATCGCTGAAAGTATTGTCCAGGAGCGCTGGAGTATTGTCCAATGAGCCGTCCCTGGGTCGGCGGACCCTTCCAGCCGCGGGACCGTTCTCCACCGAGTTCGTGCAGGTATATAAATTCTGGTGCTATTATTGGGGTTTGCGCCTTCTCACAAGGCCCTCTGGACCCCGCGGCGGCCCCTTTGAGCTACTCTTTCCGCCTCTCTCGCTCCTGCTTATCGTTGTTGACCCCCCTCAGCATCCCCGCTCATCCTCTTCCTCCTTCTTCTCCTCAACCACCTCTTCCTCCTCCTCCTTCATCTCCTCCTCCTTCTTCTCTTCTTCCTCCTCCTCCTCCTCCTCCTTCTCCTCCTCGTTCACCGCCGCTCCATTCTCTCCTTCTCGCCGGCTATGCCACACCGCCCCTGTCCTGTTTGTTTTTCCTCGCGTCGTCTTCCGTTTGCTAAACGCACCTTAAATTACGCGGCCGATGATAAATATTTGAGCCGTCCATTACATGAAAGGCCCACTCGGACCGTCGTTCGGCCGGTGTTACCTCCGTTTGCTCGACATTAGGTTCCTCCAGGATATCGTGTTACCTCGAAAAAGAGACAGCTGAGCTCATACATTCACGGCGCATCGTGGATCCACCGCTTGTCTTGCCGACAGAAATTTGCAGGCTAAAGAAAAACTTTCGGTCTGCACTGGCATTTTCCGACTCAACGATAGCGAAAAGTTAATTACTGAAAGATTAAAATACCTTTGTTTTGACAATTACTATTTTTGTTGTATACATAAAATGTCGTATATTTAATGGATCTCACATTTATGCATTCTATGACCAATTCAGAATCAATCTTTTTTTTTTAGTTGGGACGTCAACACTGTTAAATTCATAATGTCAAATTATATTCAAGTCGTTTTTAAACATATCTATAGATCGCCATTGCCACTCTTATTTAATTTTACTAAACCAATGGAGTCAAACAATTTAACTCAAGAAAATGTATTCAATTTGACTCAAATTTAATATATTAGATGTTAAACTTAATTCTTGCCGTTTTTCGTCTCTAAAATTGATTTGTTTCGAAGGGAAGTTGAATGAATACCTTAATCAAAGTAATTTCCTCCATTTTCTACTTTATTACTAATTAATAATACTTTATTAATAATACTTTGATTAAGGTATTTCTCTTCGAAGCAAATCAATTTTGGAAACGAAAAACGGCAGGAATTAAGTTTAACACCTAATATTATTTACTAAATAAAACTAACCACAGAAATAGATTGATTTATACCCAAAGACTACATAAAAGTCTACAAAAAATTCAAATTAATTAATTTTGATTCTTAATGTCAATAAATAGTCAAGTTTTGTAATAAAAAGTCATCATTTTGATTTTTTATAACGTCAAAATAAAGTCATTTTGACTTTCTCGTGACTTGGACATTTTGACACAGATGGTAGTGAAAAATAACAAAATATTATTTAGGTAATTCGAGGAATTGGGTTACCAGTATTCATTTGATATCTAGCAGTAAGGAAAATCGTTCGTTATTGCGAGAATGAATTTGATTTGAAATGTGAATGAAAATGCGTTTTAAGATACGAGATACGTAATTTATCACAGATATTAAGACGTTCCGTTGAGAATCCGTATCCGTAAGAAACCGATAAGAATCGTGCGCAATCAAGACTGTTAGATATAATACGATAAAATCATTTCGACACGATAAAACCGATCGATAGGATGCTATTTTCGTTGGTCTTATAACTCAGCCTGGAGTCGAGTGTCACGAGTGAGAAGACCGTTTAACGCGACAGAAGGAATCTTAATCGTAGCTCCGTGCACAGGATCATATCGACAATATTCTCTTCTCCTTTATATTTTCTCACGATGCAACGATCTTACATGGCACGGCAACGCCGCGCCGTTACTTGCACCTCGATAGCAGAATTTTATTTCCAATCCCCCGCGCGCGCAAGCACACAAACACGCGTACACACAATACACATACCGCAGCTGGCCACGAAAGTCAAAGTGCCTCGTAACAGGATTATGAAATGTTCCGGAGTAGCGTTCCACGGATGTTTACAGCCCGCGAATACTCGTTACCTTTTATTGCCGGCAAGTTTCAGCGATTTCTGGCATTGGCTCCGTTAACGAGCGACATTTTATACTTTCATTGGGCCGTAATTCTCCCCCTTTCCGCGTAGGGCGATGCATACGGCTCGTAATTCGGCCATTGTGTTTCCGGATGCACCGCCGAGGAAAATTCACGAAAAATCAAGTCCGTGACACTGTAATGTCAGAAGATGCGGAAATTTGATTTTGAAACGCTGGAATAATTTCCGGCAAACTTCACAAGTTTATCACAGATATTATCACTCTGGCATTATCACCTTCTTGCTTCTAAGAATATTTTCAATTTTATTAGAACCTTTGCAAGTTTTAACATATGTAGGTGCTCCCCTAATAGAAATTTTATGCAGTATACAATTGGTTATTGGGAAGTTGTACTGACTTTTATCTAGTAATTAAATAGCAAAACTGTTCAGAATACCAATCACAATGTAACGCTTTTCTCGCAGTTACTGCACAATAAAGAAGTCCAAAATCTGAATACAGTTACTAAGTAGTAAGAGAACAATAATACTAGAATAGGCTCTTCATTTATGTCATTCACATAATCTGAATTATTCTACACAAAATTAATATTATATTAACGTAAGTAAAATAAGCAAAGTATCTATACTAAAATTCTTCGCTACTCACATATATTTCATTTCTGTAGGACTCATTCGTCATTTCTAATCTTTGATATTTACTGCTTCTAACCTCACTTTTTGCAATCTTTATGATAGTCATACATGCTGTAAATGATTTAAATTCTTCCAGTTTTTTTTCTTTGCTCTACATTTCCGTACGCGTTCACGACTTTCACACATATTTAATTATTAACAATTTTACATACAACATAAAAATATATTCAGTTATACACGTATCGCAATAATTCACTGCATAACTATAACTGGTAGAAAACTGGACAATTACATTTTTAGTATTGATACAAAATCTCTTGTACAGAATTGACCCAGATATTGCCTAGTAAAACTGCTTTAACTAATTTTGCCCAGTTGCTCTCTCTCTACGTAGTATTTTTGTACTATAAAGAGAAATCAATAGTACTAAATAGTAACTAACCGGGTGCTCAATCAAACTGCACAAATTTTTACCAGGGTCAATATAACTTTTTCTATAAAAACTATTTATATTCCGAAATTTCCTTCAATTCCCTCATATTCAAAAATACAAAAAATCTTACCATTTTTGCTTATTTTATCTAACGTTGGATAAACAATTTGAAACTAATTTCTATTTCGCGGAAGTTTATTCGTAAAATCATCACGTTTTAAACGATCATGACGCGTTTGCGGTTTAAATACATCTGTTAACATGTGTTAACAAATATTTGATTAAAATTTACTTAGAATTTGTTATTAGACACAGTAAGAGAAATAAATATTTTTCTTTTTTTATTTGAAAAATGACTTCACTAGCCACAATGTGTCATTATATTAAGCAAAACTCATATCATCAATTTACTTTCTTATCTCATTTTTTTCTGTGAAATCTGACGAGCGAATACGCGCAAAGCATTATATATGAATAGTGTCAAGAATTAAGAAATATTATTTCACCGACGCGGGCGCGAACGAAGTTTTGCTTTTCAACGCGGTTGTAGGTTATAGCCGGAATGCCGCGGGCACGTTTCAGCACGACGTTGTGTAAATGCGAACGGGCCAGTGATCGTCTGTGTATTTGGGAAAGATGTTTATTATCAGTAAACTGAACTCTTTGCCGTATCCCCCTTCTCTGCTTGTTCACCCTCAGTGAGGTAGACTTAGACTTTCATATCAGTTGCCGTACAGCCGTGCCCGATCTCGTATATTTCACTCGCGCTGTATAATGCCGATCAACGGTATTTGGCTCGCATAATCGGTCCTCCGATGTGCAAATACCAATCGCATTTCTCGCAGATAGATCGAACGGTAACGATGATCAATGATCGTGCAACGTTTGTACATCCGTAATCGGTACGATTCGTTTACGGATTTTTCTCACGATATCTCGCGAAGGCGTCAAAGTGCTCGAAGAGATAATAAACAGCTTACGCCAATCTACACGCGCAGTTATCAATTAACAATAACGTAAAAAAGGAAAATAATTTACTCCGTCAAATGATAGTTGAAACGATAGTTAATTATTATTTATGTACGTCCATATCATATAATTTACGCGTAATATAATAATTGTCGAAAGCCAAGTGTTCAAATGTCAGTCTTCGTGAAAATTTCACAAAATGTGAGAAGGAATTGCGAACCGAACGCGAACCTACGCCGAAGTGAGCCACGAGTACTAATAGTAGAAAAAGAAATGGAAAAAATCGAATGAGCGAAGAAAAAGAAACTAAAGAAGAAGAAAATAAAACGAAGAGTCCTACAGCGCTCCAAGTATCCGTCAAGGTCATTCTTGTAAGCCTCCCACGCATCGCGTGTTGCTTTTATCATGGGGGTACTGATTCGTCCTTTGGGGGTAGAAAACTATTAGAAATCTTCGCGATGAATCCTATATACGTAGTATAATGTTGGAAGGTTTTACAGAGTCGAGGGAATGCGATAGGCGCAAAGAAAGCGACGCACTCCGATGAAGAGAAGAACGAAGTAACGAGGTAAGACGGCACGACGGAGAAGAAGTGTAGTCCAATCGGCGATAGATGAGAAACGCCGAAGAAAGAAAGATAGTCAAAGAAGAAACTGTTGGATGGTGAATAACGAAGAAACAGAGAGATGAGAGAGAGAGAGAGAGAGAGAAAAGAAGAATAAGTAGAATGAGTAGAAGAGAATGAGAGACCGATCGTGTCTAGCCGAAGAAGAAAAGTGGAAGATTATCATCTTTCTCTTCCTTTCTCTCGTTCTCTACCTTTTTCCCCTCTTTCTTTCTCACACTTTCTAACTCTTTCTCTCTCTTTTTCTTTCTCCCTCCCGTCACGTGCACCTGTCTTCGTTTACCTGGTGAATGCCCCGCCCCGGCCAATAGAGGTAGAGCGGGCCTCGTGACGTCAGTCACGCGTACCAGGAGGCCCTAGGTGGAGGGGCGAGATCATCCACCACCACCTTTGGAGGCCACGAAAGCCTCACGGGGACCAGCAGCTAGCAGCAGCCAGCGGCGGTGGTCTCGCCGGCCGTTTGCCGCGGGGTGGGGGCAGGAAGAGGGGTACTCCTGGACCTGGTCAGGCCAAAGAAACAACGCAGGAGTATACCCACCGAAACCCATCCTGCATTTCCCACCACTGGCTCGTCCGGAAAACGTGCGCTAGCTTCCGGACGTCGTTCGTCCGAGTTCAGTCAAGTGAGTCGACTCGCACGTACCTCCTCTCCGACGAAAACGATTGCAGAGGGTTCCACTCCGGAAAGGCGGGAGTGTGTTGGCTTGGCGCGTGCCGACGTGAATTTAAAGGGCCCAGTACCGGTACCAGAGAGAGAGAACGTCGGTCAGTCGAGGAAATTCGGCTTAGAATTAAATCTCCGTGAGAATTCGACAGCACTTAGGATGCAGAAAGATCCCTTCTCGTAAATTCTTCGATTTGGTATCACCAGTTGATGATATCCCGGTGTGGTGACCGTATGTCACCTCCTTACGGTAATCAAAAGAGAAAAAAAGAGGATCTTTTTTTTCGATCCTCCGAGAGATAGTAGCCTCGCCGTAGTTAATTCGACGATCCGTCGATCGCTCGTGTTCCCCTGAGATTCTCCCGGTGAACCATCATTTAGTTTTGATCGGTCGCGCGCGGAGTTTAACAACGCAATACGGGGATCACATCGGTGGTAAGAGTGCGTGCACGGGGGGTGTGTGATGCCCTGGTTATGGTTAAGCGTGAGTGAGGTCAGTGGCAAGAGGCGGAGAAGAAGAATCGGTAGCAGAACGTCAAGCGGATTGTCACCCTCGTCATCGTTGCTGCTGCTGCCGCCGCCGCCGTCGTCATCGTCGTTCTCCCAGCCGTTCTGGAGACGACGAGAGCAGTGACCGCGCAAGGTCGACCTCGAGGCAGAGGCACGCGATTATGGTGCACCATTATCATCGTCGCCGCGGCCTCCAGGCGACCCACCACTATGCCATTGGGAGTCGCGTAGGCACTTCGCTCTTCCAGGTTCTTCTGTTGCTCCTCAGCCTCTGGCTGCCCGTGCTCGATAACAGTGGCTTTGCTTTGGCGTGCGGACCCGGCAGAGGCGCCGGCCGACGGCCGAACCTGAGAAAGCTTACCCCTCTGGTCTTCAAACAGCATGTGCCAAATGTCAGCGAGAACACTTTACCGGCGAGCGGACTCAGTGAGGGACGGATTACTAGATATGACCCCAGGTTCCGAGACCTGGTACCCAATTATAACACGGACATCATCTTTAAGGATGAGGAAGGCTCCGGTGCCGATCGTCTCATGACACAGGTGAACGCGTGCGCTCTTCTTTTCAAAGATAAACAAAGATGCAAATAAATGAAGGATCAAGGGTTATCTCCTAACAAAAATGAAAAATGTAAAAAATTCCTACTGTTTCAGTCAATCATTTACATCAATTATTTTTTCCAACTATATAAAAAATTATACGAACTTACAATAGTTTTTAGCGGTTTACGTGAGATAAATCTATGGATTGAAATAAATTCACAATGAAGTAAATAAAATTAGAGTTAAGTCATGATAATGATTAAAATAAATGTATCGTCTTCATTTATTTGTACCTTTAATTACTTGTTCCTTAATTTATGACGGATAGCTTTAAGAAATACTCAATTTAACGTTTCAATTTAGAAGTATTATATGAAGTCAAACATGAAGGAGACATGTTTTAAGCTTCTTTAAGCGACAGTAATTTGATTGTAAGACTTCGATCGTTAATTTGTTGTAATGGGTAATTTTTGAATTTTGGCGATTTTAACGTCACTGGTGATAAAATGCAGCTCTACGCTGTTTAAGTTATGATAAAGACGACCGTCTTTGAAGCAGTCCAGCTCATCGGTGAATCATCCTACGAAATGACACCGTATTTACGGGGGATATCATGTACGACCAATCGATCGGTCGATCATGGCCGCGTTCGGTCTCATATTAATTAAAGCGACAATTAGACGCGACGTTATCGAGATTGATGGGTTTCTTGCTTCCCCGTCGATTTGTCTGGGTGCAAGGTGGCAGAGCATAATTCCCGAAAAAATGTAGTCAGAGATCTTTACATTAAATTTCAGGGATAATGGCGTTTGTACGTATTTTCCTAAGAGTTTTCATCGCTTTTTTAAGAGTAAGAAAGAAGAATATAATTATTTCTACGTTTTATATGTGACTTATCCTTCTAAAAGCACGTTTATATAGCCTCAATAATTTCGCAAATAATATTTGTATAACAATAATTTTATTTAACTTAAACATTTAAATTAAATTTATTTTCTTGGCTTCAAGAATAAATCACGAACTAATTAAAATTGCCATAGTAATTATTAACCATAAATATTAATAATAATTATTAAAATTGATATAATAATTATTAATTATTACATATGAGATACATTCATTCATAAAGGTTGAATAATACAAACAGTTTACCTGTGCAGACGTTTCGACCCTTAATTCGAGTCCTTCTCAACACAATAAGATAGGAAATGGATAGAAAATTCCTCCTCCAACACAGTTAATTTGATAAAACTTTTCATCACATCTTAGGCATTACGTAATTGTAATGTTCAGAATTAAGCGCTAAAGAAAATTTTTTTTATACCATAATATTATCTATGTTGGTTGTGAGAGATAATCAAATATATAATATAATTTCCTTAAAAATTGAACGCAGCGAAAATGAGAAAAGTTGTAAGATAAATCAAAAGATGAAGTCGAAATTAATATGCGGTCGTTAAGCATTTCAGTAAATCCAGTTAATATATAGTAATTTGCAACATATTTATCGATCGACTGTCTCTTCCATGGGCGCACGTAATAATTCGTGTTATTACTTTAATGCGTGTCACTGTACTTTGGTCCGTATGACAAACTAGCTACTGCACGTCGTTAAAACGTCGGCAGGTGATTCACGCGAAATGCTAGCCGGCGTGATAAGCGGCTCGATCATGTTCGATCATGCTCGCTTCATGTGGATAGTTTATGTACGATTCTATTACGTTGCGTGATTCTTCTTCGCTGTCAATTTCGAAGTATCATATTTCTTCAGGGAGATCAGGATGAGTTTCCTCCGTAAGAAATTTACATACGCATAATAGGATCAAAAACTACAAAATAGAATATCAGATTAATGACGATTAGTTAGATGATCTTTGTGAACGATCTTTCTCATGTAAATTTGTCACTTCAGACTTAAAAATCATCCGCGATGCGCTGTGGGAACTGAATGCGAGAAAAGGACGTCCGATCGCTTGCCCGTCATCACCTTTAAGAAGCGAAGACTATTCGAGGTTTATTTCTCTTCCATGGAGGCTTCATTAGTGCTTTATTCATGCATTTTTTATCGGTGTTTGCCTTCCACTTGGCGCCCCCGCGAAGCGTGAAACGATTCTCCTAACTCCCGCTCCGTTGTATTCCAATTTGTAAGTCGACATCGCCGCGTCACACAAAAGGCAGCCTCGGCGCCGCGGACAGTGGTGCTTAACCGGACAAAACCTGAATTCTTAAAAGCTTATCCAGAAAAATATCCGAATGTACAGATAAAATCTGAAATTGTTGGCTAATGAGGGAAATCATGATGAGAGTAGATAATGGGTTTCCTAAATAGCACATAGCGCCTTAAAGCGTTAAAAAAGCGCTAAAAATGTGTATTTGAGCGATATATTTTGAACCTTGCAGTCGCTGCTGTGCTATTTCGGTTTCCAGATCGAAGGAAATGTCAAATCAGTCAAATGCGACAAAGTATCTTTCATGCATTGAAAAACATTTTGTTCGCTTGAGCACATTAATATTCTTTAACACGTCGACTATCATGCTGAATTTGCTGAATTCAAAAGTTCTATAATACTGGACCACTTAAGCGGCGTCTACAAAGATATTTTCAGGTGTAAATCTTCAGCTTAAGCCCTAAACTGTAAAAAATTGACAAATCACAATCGAATATGAGGAAATAATCGATGATTGGCCAATTTCTTACGGCTTAAGGCTTAAAGCTCAAGTTTCACGCCTTAAAATCCCTTTATAGACGCCACTTTATACAACAATCGTGACATATTCTGCTACCATGTTTAAAACTCAAAAATATATCATTTTTACTTCTATATACTTTATTCTGTGAGCTCTTTCAAAGTACAAATGAATGTGAAAATTGCAATGAAATGCGTGTCACTCATATACTTGACGTAGAAGTTAATCTGTTAAAGAGGCATTCTTGGAATATTTTTGCTGTGCGAAATTACAGCTGTTTAGTAATCTGTTGTGTCCAATTCGTATTAAAAGAATATAAAACAAAAAAATATTTCTATGTGTGTGTGTGTGTGTGTGTGTGTGTGAAATGATGATAAGAAGCTCTTTTAAGTCGGACTAATTTTTTGGCTTATTATGAACACAATTTGTTCATTAATTCTCGTATTCCATTGTACTATATTCTGTTGTGTATGAATAAAAAGAAATGATAAAAGATATATACACATGGATATGAATCTAAAAGTTGATACTAATTATCTTGTATTTGATTGAAAATAATTAAAATTATCATCAGACCACATAAAATTTCTCTCGAGACGGATCAACTAAGCAGACGTGTCGAATTTGCTTCAATAAGTCCGAATTGCGTCATGAAAATAATCGAAGATTTATTTAGGCGAATACATTTCATCTACTGTCATATCAATTAAAGGAAAAAAAAACCCATTAAACTTGTTATTCGCTTTGTCGTAAATATTCATTCGTATCCTTTACTGGATTGTCCTGTGTCCGTCTTTATAGGCACCACTGCGCGCAGCGTCGGACCGGTTGTTGCTCTGTGTAAACTAACAGTCGAGGTGGAAATAGAAAGAGTAGACTTTTCTGGCTTCACATATTTACCCGAATTTCGCAAAGGAGGGCCGCCTTTACCTGCACGCCGCTAAAAGAACACAGAATCGGCGTCAAATCTATCACCGTCACAATATTTTCACTCGTTCAAACATTACCACAAGATAACTACTGCTGCTGCCGCCACTTATCTTCTTTTTCTGTCAGGTACACGCTGTGCTTTTGAAACACATCACAGGTAACACACTTGTGGCGCTTATTTCTGAAAAGTCGACCTTTTGTGCTAATATTCCTTGGAAAACGCTAACAATTGGCGTTTTCAAACAGTTAATAAGAATTGACCGAAAATCCGGTCCTTCGACACTTAAAAGTTTGAGTCATAAATAAAAACTGTTAGATATAAGAAATAGATCCAATGGAATGATCTGTTTTTCTGCAAAGGTCCATCAATATTAATGATACTTTTTATTTGCCATGTAACTTTTTTTTCTAAAAATATTTTATCGCAAAAGAGACCGATAAATTTGTTAGGTGAAAAGTTGATGAATTTTACATAATCCAACCGGGCAACGATACTCAAATCCAACTTACTTCATCAACAATATTTATATCTAATACGTTTTCGGACCTGTCCGGGCATCGATGTCTCTCAAGCCGAGTCGCGATCCGTCGGATCCATATAGCTCGTTAACGTCGCATATTTCCCATGTATGCATCTCAAAATGTGAAAATACGTTTTTCCGCAATGAATGACGTTCTTCCTATGAAAGAATGACAGTCCGACGATGTCAGGAAAGATGGACATTTTTTCTTACTCGTAAATAATGATGATCGTACGTCAAAACGCTTGTAAAGCATAAATGAAATAAGATATTTGCTTTCGCAAAGCGAAGTTATTTGTTACGATGATTAATGGCCACGTATGAGCAGAGATTTTCTTGCTCCTTACATCTAACCCTAGTTAAATTAATTTTTAACATTTATACAAGCAATGAAATGTGAGATTTATAGCGCGATATTTTAGCACGATCAATTTACAATGGTATTTTAAGCAGTGACAAGTTATCTGATTAGTATCACTGATCTAATTAATCTTTCTTGAAAATGTCAAGCACGCCGCATTGCAAGAATCACAATCGAGTAATTAATAGAAAAGACAGTGATAAATTTGGGTCCTACGTTTAATATTAAATATGGCCGCGGTATCTTGAGCTTTTGTTTGTGAAAGTTGCAAATAACGTTATCGCGAGTTGAGAGTCCGTATATTCCTAATAAAGTACACGAATCGATACTTAAAAAAAGATGATATATTTTGTTTATTCCAAATTATCTGAAGTAATGGTAGCGTTCAGCAGAAAAAGGAGCTTTACAACTGTCTTGTAAGATATTTTAATATAATTAGTTTATACATTTGGATTCAATGAGGAATTGAAGGCAAGAAACAATCATATTAAAAAATATTA